CAGAGATGGACGCGATCATCCATTTTGCTCCAAACCCCTCCATATTGTATCTCTCACTCCCAAATTAGTTTTCCTCATCCCCCCTCCCTCTCTGTTGAGTGACATGTGGTCTGTTTGATGACAGAGATCACAGGCAGCAAACTCATTGGGAGGGCGTCATGGCTATAAACCTCACTAGCTGGTGCCCCTCTTCTAGGAAACTCTTGCTAGAGAAGAGCTTGTAAAGCCATAAACCAAGTCCTTCACTGAGTTCAAAGACATTCCACAGAAATCATAAACCAGACACCACATTCAACATCCATGTTCCCCTATGATTACATATCTTGGATTATGAAAGACTTACACAAACATGGAGCCCATATTCGGACGGCTCACTTTAAGACCAGTCTCCTGGTATATTACACCCCCTGACATATACAGGAGAGCAAAAAATTATATCTCGTGACCCATTCAAGCGGATATTTCATATCTAACCGTTCAGCAGATGTGTCTGCATATTAATCTACTAGTGGCAAGGCTGCTAAATGCACCGAGAATAAGTAATGAACCATAATATAAGCTGAGAGTTTTTGGTCATAGTTTGGGTCTCCACCCACAACTCCTCCCTCCTCAAATAAGGCGATTGGTTTACTGCTTCAGGGAGACACCCTGTGGAGTTGCTAGAAAAAGCTATGCTAAGCTGAGTTGTGAAGGAAGTTAAAGAATCTCCCTTTTTAACATCGGAACTAACAGTGGGAGATATAAGCATCCTTTTGGCTCTGAAACTTGGAAGCTGCTTAAACCAAGGCTGACTGGCAAGTACTTTATCTAAATTCCTGTTATCTCTTTGCTGTGCTATTCTTTTCTGTATATTTATATATATATATTGGCTACATCTTTTCCTGTAAATATTTTTATTGCACCCTTTTGACATTTTAGTAATAAATCTTACTTTCTGAAAGTGTTGAACTGTTTCTAAAGCTCTTTAATGCAAACTAAAGCACCCCTGCCTCTGAAGAGCGCGACTGTGTGTGTTTAAACCTCTGTATAACCTGCCTGTGGTGACAGTGGTATACAGACGATGATTCAAACATCATAGGGTTACTGCTGATATTCTCGCGTTTCCTCTTTCTCTGTACAAAAAGGAGGTGGTGGCAGTGTTAAGGGTTAATTGCGTAATTAACCTGACCCAGTAACAATTGCTCTCAGGCTGCAGATACACAGATTGTGGTCCATTAGCTGGAACATCTGTGTGCAGGGTGCAGCTGGGCGTGGCATTGTTACGCACGTGACAGCGCGGTTTTAGATTGGCTAGTCCTTCGGTCATGAGTTTGGTGAGAAGGGCTGGGGTCTGAGGCCACGATTGTCACACCAGGCTCTATAGTTTGGTCTTACAGTATTCTGAAAAAAATGTGTCCAATACCTTTTTGATTATTCCAATTCCAATTATGCAGCTGTCCACAACAAACATAAGATTAACGTTGCCCAATTTGGATGGTTACCTAAGATCAGGCATCGACCCGATGACTGTAACCACCCCCTAACATTACCAGATATCCGCTGGATAAGCCTTCTCAGGCCAGACAATCGCTATTCTCTCCCATCCCATGAAAAAACTAGCTCCAGTGATCCTTCTCCCTCCTCCATAGCCCAAAACATGCCTCTTCTGTTGATCCCAACTTTGACGTTGCAGACAGGGGAATTTAATAAACCTTTTACAACAGTTCTGTGATGGTATATCCCTTTAAAGGGTCCTGCGCTAGATTCCAAAAGCCCAGCCATCATTTTCAGTAGTTGCCTGATTGAAATGTGTGGCAAAGTCAGGAAGTTCCAAATAGTGTTGCTTTTACAAAGTGGTGCTATTACTGCACCAAATTAAAAATTAACCATGGGTATTCATGGATAACAGAACTGGAGGTAATTAAGACCAACTATTATATGGTGCACAGAGACAGGCAGCATGCCCGTCTCTGTATGCTCTGTAGCAAGCCGCATGCTTCTTCACCTACTGTCACTGGTTCTTAAGCATGCTGTCGAGTTCACAGCTTAAAACCTTCTAGCAACCAGTGATGCTTACAGTGGGCAGAGTCTGATGGGGAAACTAGTTTGTCATCAGATCTGTTTTTCCTTGTGACGGACAGGCAAGTGGGTTCTATAACCTGCAACAGATTGTTTAGGCTAGGTCCACATCTATGCAAGTTGTGGTTGACGCCTTTTTTCAATTTTTGAACACATGTTTTTAATGCATTTTGCTTTTGCTTTTTTTTATAGGAAGGTATGACAATTCTGTTCATGTAGCATGACTTTACACTCCCTGGCACTCAAGTCGCATCAAAGTAGTGCAGGAACCTTTATGTGTCCAAAGTCACGTTAGGGCTAGGGTTAAATTTTAGGGTCAAGGGCTGGGGTTAGGGTTAAATGTTGGGGTTAAAGGCTAGGGTTAAATGTTAGTTAGGGTTTAGGGCTATGGTAAGCGGTAATCATTAGGGTTAGTGGTAATTGTTAAGGTTAGCGTTCTAACCCTAACAATTGCCTCTAACCCTAGCCCTTAATCCGTACATGCAACTTTGGACACAAAGACTCCTAAACTTTTTTGATGCTAAAGAGTGTAAAGTTGCATCAAAGTCACACTACATGAACAGAGCCATCATACTTTCCTATTAGCAAAAAAAAGAATGCAAAATGCGTTGCGTTTTTGATGAGGGCCCATTGAAGTCTAAAACGCAGTCTGCTGCGGGAAAAAGGTCCCTGACCCTTTCCAAAAAATGCACCGGCTCAAAACACACAGATATGAACTAGATCCATAGGAAACCATGTTAAATGGACTGTAGTGCGTTTCTGCAAACGCACTAAAAACGCATAGGTGTGAACCAAGGCTTATTGGCTTTGGATTCGTCCACTGCCTGCTGTCAATTTCAAGGGGAGCAGACCTTATAGGGCACTAGTATCTCTGAATTCCCATCAGGTTTTATTCACTCCATGGATGTGTTGCCCACACCAACTTTTGTTCTGTAAAAGGCATATCAAAATTTAAAAGAGGGCCATAGACATTCTTTATGAATTCCCGAATGGCAGTTCTCATACTGCAATGGGGGCATTTCTCTACCAGAGTGTGTTTTTATGTAAAGTGACAAGTTTGTTAATACAGCAGAAGGAATATTTGCATCAAAACCTTGAACAATGGAATAGGCGGTGGTGATTTAATGCCTGAAAATCAATGTAAAACTGAATTATCTATATGAAACTGAAATATCAGTTTATTATGTGCATGTAGTTTAGTAATGTAACCAGCTTATATTTTTAGGACCTGACAGATTTACTCAATTTAAATGTTAACTTTATCCAACAAAGACAAAATTGTGAAATCTTCTTTTTTGGTCTGCATAATGGACTAAAAGTGAACTATTCAAAACCTGGGCAATTAAAAGTTAAGAGTGTGGACCGCAAATCAAGACAACCAGTAGATCAAGGCCTACAGGAACCCAAAGTTTTGTGAATTTTGACTTCTGCCTGCACGGCTGTTCACATGGGTGTTAGCAGTGTTCCATCAGTGCTATATGTTCCCTTATTACCAAGTAGTGTTGAGCACTTTTTGGTTATTAATTCTCTTGCACAAAATAAAAACTTTAGCATTCTATAAGTTTAGATGAAAATGATGATGCCATTCAATATACACATTTATATATAGCACACACTTTTTATTCTCTTTTACAAATTGAGTGACTTTAAATTCTGCCATCTTTACTATATTCTATGTTAACCTCCTATCCCTCTTGTATTGAACTGTATTGTCTCCCGTTATATTATAAAGCACTGAGCAAACTGTTGGCGCTATATAAATCCTGTATAATAATAATAATATATAATAATAATGTTAACACATTTCCAACAGTCCTTTTTTGTGGTACCTAGTCAGTAAACTGCAGAAGCTGTCAGATATTCTGTCCTTTCCATTTTTTGGAAGGGTGTGGGTTAATTGACCACCAGCCTGCATTCTAATCAGCCAACATCTGTGCAACATCTGTTGGGCTCTTGGTCAGGCGGAGTGCGGGGGCAGACACAGAATTACTTCCTAGCAGGAGAATCTGAGCACAAAGGCTTCTGCTCTCTGCCTGCCCTTTGTACCAGCTGCCCTGGGTTGTACAGAGAAAGGATAATTCTTTGTCACTGTTGGAACCAGTGCAGAGCCAAATATTAACTCCTCCCAACTATAAAGGATCTATTTGACACGTGCTTAAAAATTAATAAATATATTACTGGAGAGATTGCAGACCCAATAATTGTATTTCCCACACAGGCAGTGAAGGGGTTCATTGATTAAGAGCTGAGACTATATGCATTTCCAATAAATACTCACTATAATAGTACAGATATATTGTGCAAAAGTATGGATAGCTACTAAACTGCAGGATGGATACACAACTGGTTAACATCTGTCATATTACAATGGAAAGAATACTGATATGCAGTAACTAGTGCCAGCCAATTGGAGTTCAGAATTTAGCAGCCTGGAATGAGCAAATTAAAACGGATTTGAGATTAGTTGTTATGGATAACTAGGCGCCATTGCTCATGGGCGGTTAAATGCTGTTAAACTCTTAGGGCATATTTATTAAGCACACTGTTGGTTTGATCATATCTTGCCCATTCTCAAGTTCAAAATCTATTAGAAGTGCTTGTTGTCACCTCCTAGGGAAGCCCCTAAACAGGCTGATATTTGCCTGTCTGTCACGTGGATAGAGCCCTTTCTAGCCAGCTAACCTCTCCCCCCCCCCCCCCCCCCCCGAGAAAAAAGTGGCAGCTGTGATTGCTACAGATGTGAAACTTTCAACCACAACAGCTCAATTAGAAAAATGTCACCTTATGTCTACGGCTACCTTAACCACCTTCCGCCCGCCATATAGTACAATGACGGGTGCAAGGTGGTTCTCTCGTTCTGATAGGATGTCATATGACGTCCTTCCATTCTCACTGCGCGGCTCAGGGAGCGTGCAGCGCGGGCGATCGCCGGTGCGCTGTGTCCGAGGGACACAGAGAATCACGGAAAGAGCCAAAGATGTCGGCTCGGTCATGTGATCAGCTGTGTCCAATCACAGCTGATCACATGTAAACACGGAAATGCCGATTATCGTCATTTCTCTCCTCTCGAGCTGTCACGCTGACAGGAGAGGAGAGCCGGTAATCGTCTTTCCGCGGAGGGGATATATACACTGATCATCAGGGCACTGATGATCAGTGTGCCCTGATGATCAGTGTGGCCCCAGAAGTAACACCTGTCAGTGTCCATCAGTGCCAGCAGTCAGTGCTCATCAGTGCCACGTGCCAGTGCCCATCAATGCCACATATTAGTGCATACCAGTGCACATCAATGCCACATATCAGTGCCCATCTGAGCTGCCTTTTAATGTCACCCATCAGTGCCAGTCAGTGCCACCTATCAATGCCAATCAGTGCCACCTATCAGTGCTGCCAATCAGTGTTGCCCATCAGTGCCAGTCAGTGCCGCCTAACAGTGCCAGTTAGTGCCACCTAACCGTGCCAGTCAGTGCCGCCTATCAGTGCCATATATCAGTGCTGCCTTTCAGTGCCCATCAGTGATGCCTGTCAATGCCCATCAGTGCAACCTACCAGTTCCTCCTCATCAGTGCCCATCAGTGCCACCTATCAGTGTCCATCAGTGCAGCCTATCAATGCCCATCACTGCAGCCTCATTAGCGCACATCAGTGAAGGAGAAAAATCACTTATTTACAAAATTGCCCCTCCCCTATGCGTTATGCTACAGGAACTCGTAGCTTCCTCTGGGGGATGGGGAAAACTACATCCCCCAGAGGAAGCTACGAGTCCCTGTAGCGTAACGCGTAGGGGAGGGGCAGTGACGTCACCACGCATCCGCACAGAGAAACGGTGAGTATTGACAGTGTGCGCAGGCACACCTACAAGGCTGACCTTACCGCTGTCTGCAGTTTCATGTATACACAAAGCGCATCTTGATCTTTTCACATGAGGATGTGATCAAGCAGCTTGCTGAGGAAGGAAAGGATTTCGTTTATCATACTGACCCACGGTGCAGTTTTCTATCGCACACCATTATTCAATTTGTCACAGAGGAGAGCACATTGTATCATACTTTGTACTACATCTATTGGGAGACTGGCACTACACTGTAGAAATGATTTTTTCCCATATAGTCTAAGATCACCACCGGAATATTAATTAAATACGCAGTGTGCATGAGTATATGGACTATATTCACTGCAATGATTGATTTGAGTATATACATGCACATTTATGGTATATTATTGTTTTTTCACAGATTAAGGCTATGTTTTGATGTTGCATGATTGATTAGAGCGCGGCACCATATTTATCCACTGTTTATCTTTTGATGCACACCAAGTGAGGGTGAGCAAGGAAGCCGGCGATCTAATATATTACATATAGAAACACATGTGAGCACCTTCCAGTGGCTCACAAGTAATTGCACAATTTTTTCATATAGCATTTACTGCCTGGAATCCGTCTAACCTTAGCTTAGACATTGGCTCAGCTGAGAACGCTCCCCTCCTGAAGCTTCCTGGGATGTATGACATCATTTGTAAAGGCATAAAAACCAGGAAGCATTCAGCTACTAGAGACAGCCATACAGGGGATTGGTTCCAGTTATTGCCCCCTTCGTGCTGATCACCCTCCCTGCCCACATCCGATTCACCCAGCTGCCTGGGCCCTATACAGTAGGACTGGTGGTACCCACCTATCCATGGCCCTGTATGCTAATAAATAGGAATTGCTTTCATTTGATGGCAGGTGCAGTCACATAAAATTAATACACACTGATGTTAACTTTCCAAGCCATAAAGGCTTTAAAATCTAATGCCATTGTAAAGTTGCAGGTACTATAAAACGTTCTTCAGCCACCTCACAGTGCATCTGTAGCAGCAAAAAATATACAAATGCCACTTATGCTATAGCGCAGGCACATCTGGAAGTCCCAAAAACTGAGATGCACCTGAATGCAAATATTGCCAACTCTGGTCACCCCTATTGGTCCTACAGTGTAATTGTGAGATGGGGAAACAGCTCTCATTGTTTGAACACTGTGTGGAAGTAAATTAATGTTTTGACTGACATTCTGCGGTTTAGCCACAAGATGTCACTGTTTTTCTAACACAGCCTCAGACTGCATAGATATTTGTATATTCATGAAGAGGTGGGGTTTTGCACTCAGAGTTTGGAGTTTAGTGAACAGGAAGAGGAGACTGTAGCCGTGTTTTCGACGATGCTGAAAGAAGGGGCCATGTGAACTGAGAATCCGATGACATCCAGGTGTGAATGCGTCCCTCAGTAACCAGAACTGCAGCTGAGTGAAGCTGATGAGTTTGCTGCCAGGAAGCTGATGAGACCAGAGGAACTAAGCAACATATACGGCAAGACCGCATGCTTGTTGGAGAGACATTTGTTTGGTTCAGAGTCACCAGCAGATGCAAAGCAGACCCGGGTCGGTAAGATCATGCACGCACCTCATTTCAGTGTTGGCGCCTTGAGACTGAGTTCAGGCCTATAGTTAGTTAGTTAGGATCTCTGTTTGTGTCAGGCCACAAGTGTTGTTACTGATTATTGGAAGGACTCCACAACTTAAAGTGAAATTTCACATTGGAGAGCTGATAAAATCCTACAAACTCAAGCTCAGAAGGAATACTAAGGCACGTGCTACAGGACCAGTTATGGGAGAGGGAATACTATAGATTTGTGTAAGATTGTAAGCTGTTGTGCTGCATCGCAGGCTAGCCCATACCGTACACCCATACACCGATTCCTGCTCTTTTAAGGTAATAACAGGTAAGGTGTGGCAGCTTATTTGTGCCCGCCAGTAGGTAAATTACTTCACTTTCTACCTTCATCCATCAGAAGGCGCCGTGCTGTGCAGCACAAGGGTCTCAGCCTTTGGGCTGGGTGTATGTAAAGTTATTGTATGTTCTCAGCATTTGTGGTTGTGTTTATTTGCCACATCTAAGAAAAATTCTGTTGTGGCAAAAGCTGGTGTTGGGATGCTTTCCTCGTTCGTGACTTCACTGTATGCTGGGGAGCCCACCCAGGTACACGGCTTACATAATGGCCAGCCTCCCTAATAGGGAGCCTAACTAATAGGGAGACATAGGAAGCAGGAACAGACAAGCAGTGCTGAAAACCAGGAAACTGGTTGCATCTTATGGTGTCCTAGATTTCATGGATCCTTGGCACTATCCAGCAGATCACAGTGATTTGTCAGAACCTTACTGCACTACACAACATAAGTGGCACTTGGATTACCACTACAGGTTTGCTTTAATCTGCAAAAGGGTCATCTCAGACCTACAGAGATGGACAAGGGAGGTACACAATAAATAACTCTGATGTTGGCTTATCAGGGGGAAAACAATAGCACAGAAAAATATACCAATATTTCACTTGAGGAGACCTGGTTAGCTATGTTTGTGGATTTCTTATTAAAGTGTTACTAAACCCTGGATTCACTATATCTGGTCTCCCACAGTACACGGAAATGCAATTATTTTAGTAAATATAAACTGCTAAATACCTTTTCTCATCTGCATCTACAGCAGTCTTGTGACTTTCGTAAAATACACACCAAACTGAGCATGTGCAGCTTGCCCTCAAGGCTCTTTTCTATCAGCAGATGGATTGGGGACAGTAGAAGGGGAGGATCAGAGAAGACAGGATCAAACATCCTTTTTACACAATTAACCTCTTAGATTCCACAGTGAGTATAACAAGCATGCTTTACTGCATATACATACCGATTTTACTATTGTGAGTTTAGTAACTATTTTGTAAAGTGCTGAGCAAACTGTTGGTGCTATATAAATACTGTATAATAATAATAATAATAATAATATTAGTAACACTATAACTTGTGACATATCGTTCAGTCCAGCGCTTTTCATGTTTTAGAGCATTTAGAAGTGCTACTTTATTAAGTTGATTATAGAAAAATGAATGAGGGTAAAAATGGAGGGGATGAATTTGCAAGAGAAATTACACTCTGCAAAGGGAGTTTTCATTTCTGAACTGCCCAAGATTCAAGCATGGCAGGAGGGCTTAGGAGGATGCTGCACTTTGTACTCTCAGTAGTTCTTTTTTCCTCTTGATCACAATTTTTTTTTATTTTGACCATAAATTCTCTGTAAGCTTCAATCCCAGGTAACTGCATTTTCAATCAGGAAAAGGTACACATGCTAAAGATGGTGGTTGGAAGTGCAGGCGTGAAGGAATGTTTTATGAATATTATAGCCATTAGCTAGTGGTGCGCAGCATCTCTCATCCCCTCATACTTTACCGATTTCTGGATTTAGGTGTCCGTTTATGACACAGAGAATAGCTGCGATTCAGAGGATCGCAGCTATTCTCTGGTCATTCACAGTTTATGACACTCAGGAGATCAGTGGAGAACTGTTCAGCTCTTCACTGGAGATCTGTGTTCTCCCTCCAGATTCTCCAGCCCAGAGCTGGAGAATCGGAGGGACCGCAAACTAAGCAGCGATAATTTACCTCTACTTAGTAAACTGATCTTTTACTGTAATCTCGGGAGATTATAGTAAAATCAGCCGTTTTCCAGAGTTTGTAGACCGTTTTCCAACGTTTGGAGACCGTTCTCCCTTCGTTCGGAGAACTGCTTCATAAAAGGCATTCACAGGAGAACTGTGTTCTCCGAGAATGCCGGAGAACTGAGCAGCCATCATTTATCGCTGGTTCATAAACGGACACCTAAGTATAAGACAGCATGCACCCTTATAAAGCTGTGAGATACTGGATTTGCCAGAGCACCTTGAACGGTGCTATAAGTGGCTATAGGGAAGAGGGAGAACAGCCAGACACCTGTCTAACTCCTGGGGAATCAACTATCAGGTAAAAAATCCACTGCAGCTAGTTCTGCTAATAGGGTCTGACCAGAATGGTGACAATTATCTTCATTCTTTAGAAAACGTAGGGGGAGATTTATTAAAACTAGGGCACTCAGAATCTGGTTCAGCCTCGCATGGTAGCCAATCAGCTTCTGACTTCAGCTTGTTTAATTAAGCTTTCACTATAAAACCTAAAAGCTGATTGGTTCCTGTGCAGAGCTGCACCAGATTTTGCATGCTCCAGTTTTAGTAAATCCCGCTTTTAATGTCCAGTGACATTGTACATATTTTACACTTTCTATAGCCCAAAATTTAGACAGACCAGTGTACACAAGGAAGAATGCAATGGAGCCTAGATTTTAAAATACAGGGATTGTAGACATACAATTGTCCCCAAGTCAACAAGGTCAGAAAACCCAAGCACAGCTTCTACTCCCTCATAATTACCAGCTACATGATCAAATGATAATCTTCATTCTGTTTGCTGTTACTATGCTTTTTGTTCTTCTATTATCTGTTTAACGTGTATTTAAACATTAACAATGAACTACTCTTATTAGCTCATATTTGGTATACTAAATTTACACTTAAAAGTTTTTTTTATTAGATCTGTTCAACAGGTAAAAAATAACTTTTGATTTTGGCAGAAATCTTGTGAACTTGTGTGCTTTCTG